ATGTCGTATCAGACCACATAAATTTGTCAAATTTAGCATTATGTCACATGCCAGAGAATACAACATTCTACATAACAGCATTTACAGCCCATGATGAAATATAAGAATACAGTATAACAACATGTATATGTGTTGGCTATTTTCAAAATGTTGTACCTTATCCGGTATTGTTATACAGTGTGCTGCAGTGTCCACATACTATACTCAAACGCAATCTACACCAAATAATACAGTATCGCACATTGTTTTTGCTGTACTATATTGTACGACATTGATTCATTATGTTTCAATCAAAGTGTTATACTGCAGCATTATTTTCAATACAGCTTATCATGCCGCATGTTATTGTACGGTAAGTCACGTTATATGCATTTCCTAGATTATGCTATATTCTGGCTTAGTACACCCATATATGTATATACACATCTAGGGACGGAAAGGCAATGGTGGCACAAGTTCTGGAAATCCCACATCCGTAACATCAAACCCTCAACCCTACATCATGTAAGGTGCAGGAAGCTCTGTGGGTCCGACATTGCCCTAGACCACCAGCACCATAGGTGCGTCAAAGACGTTTAACATGAGAAATCCTAGCCTCACGCAGAGACTTCATAGACTACGAGAAGCCCTATAAACCCAAATCCCTATACACCCTGAACTTTGAACCCGGAGCCACGAGCCCCAATTCCTACAGACCTTGTAGACCCACCTGTAGAACTCCTTCGGCCCCTTTCATATGTGCAGCCATCGGAGCTGTGGACATGCGGCCGCAGACATGCGGCGCACGGCAAAGCATTTGGAGCCCCTTCCAACAAGCGCAGAGCAGTTGGGGAGGGTTTTGCGGGTTTCGGACCTATATACGTGAACCCCATACACAGGAAGCTTTATAGGTATCCAACGATGACGGATGAACTCTCAAGCCATGCTTTGACCCGAATCCCCAAATGACAAAATTGCCCAATACCTCACACCCTCCAGCCCTAAAGGCCCCGCAGCTTCGTGAAACCCGACCCCACAAACCCTGATCAGAAGACACAACACCCCCGAAATCCGAAACCTTATATTAGGATCCTAAACTCAACTCCACCACCAAAGCGCAAAACCCTAGAGACCCCACGCAAAATCTAGGAACCGTGCAGCTCTAGATAGCATCTACTGTGGCCGCAGTCGGGTTCCTATATGAGCACTTTCGGGCCAAAGTAAGCATCACATGGGTACAAAGGTCTCGTAATCAGGTTCCTATTTAAGCAGACTGGCCTAAACCCTACATCCAAAAAAAACCCTCAACACTAAATGCAAAAGCCTAAGTTCACCATGTGAAGCGTAGAAGCCTCGTAAATACCCGACGAACACCCGAACACTAAATTCCACGATTGAAGACCCGAAACCCTAGAAAACCTAGCTGCCCTCAGCCTGAGCTGGTAGGCGGCGCAACCCCTCTTTGCTCGACATTGGCTGCGGCAAGTACCCGAGCCAGTGAGTTCTTCCAGCTCCTGCGGTGGGCGGAATTTTCAGGGTTTAGGGCTTTATGATTTTATGGGTTTAGGGGTTGAGGGTTTTAGGCGACTTCTGGTACAGCAAGACCTTACATCAAAGCAAAACCCTCTTTCACAAGAAAGCCCCTGAGACGGCAGCGGCTCTCTTTACTTCATTATAAGCAACATCACCTTGTCGACCACGGTAAGCAAAGTCTTGAGCACCATTGATCAGCATCGTGATAGCTAAGACAGTAAGGTCACAACAACAACCGTTACAACAAACGAAGCCACCGTGATCATCACTCATCATCAGGATAAGCATCATCACAAGCTGAAGCAGGAGCGGTCGCATCATCATGACTGACACCACTGCCTCACATGCGTCACATCGTAGTATCAACAATCCTTCTCGCTATCACCGTCGTCACTGCCGTCACCATAGAAGCAATGGAAGGAGCTCAACATCAGCATACAGAGTCATCGCGGAGCAATCCCCGGGCCCAGAGCTATTTGGCCTCACACCAGCAACACCATTGACTACAAAGTAACGCATAGCATCTCAATCACGTAAACCATCAGCTCCATGTTTAGGCATGGGATGACCAAACCTCCGATGCATTGCTCGCTCCTACCTTGTAGAAAGCCCTGACGGCTCGCCGTCCATGGGTGCGCTCTGAGGAATACAGGGTTTAGGGTTTGAGGGCTGCTGGGAATATCGAAGAAGGTGACCTCAAATCGCAAACCCAGGTGAAAAGAATCACCGTGAAACATGTGCGTGGACAGTATGCTGTCGGTATCTGCTGGCAGGAACTTGGCGACCTTTTCAATGTTTGTCAGGCTACATAGATCCCCCAACTTTCTATATTGTGAAAAGCGGGCCTTCCACTTTGCAGAGACCGTCTGCCAGCAGGTGTCGTCCCGAATGACCACCTTGACCGAACAGAGTCTCGGGCGTAGGTTTGTAATGCTTCGGGTATTGCACCATTTTGGGGCTAGGGTTCACCCTAGCGTTTACGAATGCTTCTGGCACTTGGTCAGGAAAACCAGCATCTCGACCGGTAAGTTTGCGAGGGTGTAGGACTTGTAGGCGCTGGCATGCAGAGGCATCGAACAGGGTTCCATTCGGGTGACGGCTGACGTTAGTCAAAGGCTTACAGTAGTCGCTAAACCCTGCCCTCAACCTCCACACATGGCAGTTGCATCTTGCAACCTGTGGTCAGAACCTGCGAAGCTGTTCGGAGCTCTCCCTGAACCCTGACCACGAAGCGGTGGCTTGGCAGGACCAGATATCGTTTGGCATTTTTTACAGGTTTTACATCACCAAGCCGTAGAGTCGTAGAGGTTCTGCCTCAAGAGGAGATTTGGGGTCCCCACAGGTGAGGATGAGGACCCTAAATGCCTGGGCCACCTGAGACAACCCTGCAATGCCTCCGCGGAGCGCTTCAAGAACTCTGGCAAGGACCCTGCGTGAGGAAAGTTGTAGGATTCAGGATTACCTTGAAAGTTCGAGGTTTAGGATTCAGGGCCTCATTGAAGCCAGAACGGAGTTTACAAACAGCAGCAATTCAATCATGCACGACGACCCTAAAACGATACATCCACAATCCATTAACCCAGTGAACCATATACTGAACCTTAATTAAACTTAATACCTTATTCCTGAAGCTGATTTCACATGCGACGGCGAACACTAACCTAGAGCGCGAGACTAGCATAAACTCGTGATGCCTGGCGCCTACATGTGGGACCAAGGCGCGGAACAAAAAGCCACAATAGCTGTCGGAAGCTGGGGCTTCAGGTTTTGGGCATTTTGTCCCGTTTTGTTTCCTCATGCCTTGTCTTTACAGATCTGTTGGCATTACGAAGCTGGGTGAATTGGACAACTCGGATCATAGAGTGAGCAGCCCGATGTTTTGCAGCACAGTATCAAGTGGTTTCCGGTTCTCGATGTTTCAGACACCATAATGAAGCCTAAACGCCCTAATTAACAGAGAATCCTCGAGGAACCAACTCTCAATCTGCAGAATCCTAAACCGGCCGAGTGCAGCCCCAACGCATCAACATTTTCATATTGATGCCCTAACCTCAAAGCCCGGCAGTCCGTCAACGACCTACAAAACCTGCGCCCCGAATTCTTACCCCTGTCGCCTGGAGTTTGGAAAGCCAGCTCGCCGAAGAAGGTGCCTGGGACAGGCGACAGTGGAAGCCACAAATGCCTGGGGCCCTCATAAACAAACAAACCAGGGCTGTTGGGTGCGGTATATTATAGCTTCAGGTCTGAGGGTCTTGGGGTAATTAGAGGTTTCGGGGCTCGAGATTGAGGATTTAGGGAGCTTTGAATTCGATTTTAATCTATGTTGTGGACAGTGCTACTACTCTTGCTAATGGCTCTGTCATTTGATGCCGGTTCTAGATGCGCTGAGAAAGTCGTTATTCTGCGGGTCCTCTTATCAGCACGAACGTTGTCAGTGCTCTTTCGAAGCCGATGTCCGTGTGGCTTCAGCGCTTTCCGGCACAACAAGGGACAGGTAAGTACATGTTTTTCAAGACGGCCATATGCCTTTTGTGAAGGTATGCGTGGCTGCTCTAGGTAGTTGTACTGCGACCCAGGAGCACATCAGCTGCACTTTGCAGCGCGACGAGTCACCGCAGCTGCCTCTCACTTCAACGATCCAGTTTGTGGTGCTTCTGCGGGTCGCAGGTTGGGGTGTGGAGAGGAAGGGTTTGAGTGCGCAGTCTGTTTGGGTTTTCGCTTCTTCTAGAGCCATCGACAAACGAAGAAAGCTGAAATGAGCCCCAGGTTTCAGGATTTGGGGTTAACTATATTGGAAGCTTGTGATGACGTGCGACAGAAACAGGATCACCACACGGGGTCTGAGTTCTGCCCTGAACTGCTTTGCATGGGAAATAGACTTCTAGAGCAGTCTGCTGCCGAGAGGAGTGGATCAGCCGTCTAGATCCTCAAGCCGTCAATGTTTCAACAAGCTCCGCCAAAGCTCCAAAATTGACATCCAATGAGCCGACCCACCCCTAAACCCGAAAATAGCCAAGAACCAGTGAAAACCCCCCCTACACCTTCCAATCCCTAGGTATCCGTAGCCCTGCTGCTGAAGCTAGAAGCGTAATTTTATCACATAAGTAGAATATGTTAGAGCAGGGCTTTGGGATTAAGCTGTACTTTCAAAGGGAGCCCCAAGGAAGAATGTCACTAACTATTCCGACCCATTTTTAATCGGAGTCCCGAAGCAGCAGACAAATTCAAGACCCTCTGGCGTTCAGTCTGCGGCTGAGCACACCCATGTCTGGGATGCCCAGAATTTCCTTGGCTGAGCCGGGCCGGGGCTCTTTATCAATGGGGAGAAGGAGGGACCCTTAATGGGGACCCCTACCCTCTGATGGGCTGTAATAATGGGTATATAGTGGCTATTATAGTAAGGGTATATACCTAGGGGTCCTTATTAAGGGTTGGATTTAGGTTCTTAAGGCTTCATCGGCTGTAAGGCTTTCCGGCGTTTCGGGTTTGTGGCTTTGGGCTTTAGGATCTAGACCTTTAGTAGGCTCAAGGAGTGTGCCAAGCTTCGACATTGTGACTGCATGCAATTCTGTCCTAGTCCAGCCCCATTAGGCCGGCCCGCTAGGCCTTGACAAACATGCTTTCTAGGGAAAAAGCCCACAGCACCAAAAGAAAGGAACAAGCTTCGGCTACATGTCCTATGTTACAGCTGCAAGAACACGGACTTACATGACAACCATATGTAGCGGTTGAACATGGCACAACAAGTACTGCACGCGACCCGAAGACTAGAGTGCCCCAATCAATAGTGGAACTCCCACTGCCACTGCAAGCGACCCTCGCCCTGCATGACGAGAGCTGCTCTAATGCCCAGTGACGCCGGTCAGCACGTCCAAACGGAAGGCCACGTGGCCTTGCACCTCGCGAGCCGTAAATCTTACAGCAATTGCTTTGGTGTAAAGCACAATCCCGGCCAACAAGCCCAATAAGAACCGACCACACCCTGAACCAAATACCGATAAATTGAAGGTCGGAGAGGCCTCGATGAAGGACACCTGCGAGGTTCTAACAGACCCCAAGAATCCATAAATCCAAACGCTAGAGGGTTTGGGTTTCTAGTTTCAGTTCCCCATTAACTAACCGCACACCAAATACTCCAATTTTGGCGGCCTGCACCCTCCATCCCCAAAAGTAAACGACAGACCGTAAGCTCCTGAACCGCAACCCTAAGCTCTCAAACTCGATCGGGAATCAACCAGGTCACTACGACGTCGCCAGTGGTAAGGTCGAACTTCACATCCAGACCGCTGGAAGAGCAGCTCGCCTGGCGGAGAAACAAAGTCTAGTGAGGGTTCTAAGGGTTTGTTTTTAAGGTGTGGCTGGGGGGTTCTAGGGTTTGTTATTAGTAGGGCTACGTAAGGTTCAGCTTGGTGGGCATAGGGTCTCGGGACCCTGAGCTTTACTTATTAGTGTTGCTACACGTATTTCACGATGCACAAGTATCACAAGTTGCCCCCGAAAAGCTTCTGCAATTCAGAGTCTGAGGCTTCAGGTTTGGTTTCGGGGCTTGCCTTTTTGATTTAGTCCTTTTTCCGCCTGCTCGTTTACAGTCAGAAGGCCCCTGGAGGGCTTTAGGCTCTAAGGTGCCGGGTCGCGCGGTATAAGCTTGAGGAGTGTAGTAATTTTGGGTGAACGATCTCAAGCCTTCAGGAGTTGCCCAGCAGTCAAGTCACATAGAACGCCACTGGCGGTGTGGAAGAATCGCCGGAAGCAAGAACCAATGGAGGTATCGCCCTCGCAGCGATCAAGTTCAGAACAGAACCTGAGCATGACTGCATGCGCTTGGGGTCGACTGTGTCAGGCTGCTTTGAGCAGGTCAGGCCAGCCATTCAGGGCTTAGCGATTCAGGATGGAGGAGTCTGACATAAAGGGAGGTTCTAGAACCACCAAACCCTTGTCAACGTGGCGGTTCACACACAACAAACGCAAAAAGAAGTCGGCCTATAGTTCAGTCCATGTGAGGTGCACTCCCTTCGTTCAAAAAATGGCCTATCAACTTCTGCTATAGATGGCAATGCGGGTGGGTCCCGTCCACTCAGGAAGTCTAGTGGCAACACCTAGAACCAATGGCCATGGCTGTCGATGTAATCAACATGATGATTTGTGCTCATGTAGATACTCAATGCCGGGCGACCCAGACGACAATGATCTGGTTGAGGCTATTAATTTGGCCCAGGGGCCGGCGTCGACCTTCTTGTCTCCCACAATTTGCTTGAGCTGCATGGAAGCCTTGGTCTTCAAACTCCAAGACGACGATGAGGAGCTACCTCTATGACTCCCCGTGCTTTGTTTCAGGCCTCAAGAACTGCAGTACTCGAACATTGCACGAAACCGAAGTTCTAGCATCCTCAGAAAGCAACAAAAACTACCATGGAGCTCACTAGAACACGAAGCCCTGTGAGGGCGCCAATGAACGAGAGGATCGTATTGCTAGGCCCGAAAGGATAACCCAACCGTGTACTTGCCACAGTTCCCACGGAGGCCTACATCCACTTCCCTTCTCCGAAACCTGAATCCTAGTTCAAGTGCCCATGAACAATCTCAAGTAGGTCGGGGTACACGGCTATTTGGGCCCGAGGGTCCAGGCATGTCAGGCTAGGGTTTGAACCATTAGGGGCTGACGCGCTACCTGAATGCGACACACCAGTTGCGTTGACCTTTGAAGCTGTCCTGACAATACCAAAAAAACAAAAAACGAAAACACTTAAACAAACTACGAAGATCAGATTGAAGAAGGAGTTTCGTATCGGTACCTTCAACCTCAAAGCGAGCAAACTTTAAAGCGAACCCTGAACTCCTGAACCCTGCAGCGGCAAGGAGCCCAATGGTTCGGATGGACAACGCCAAGTGAGTGCGTCAGGTCCATCGTTCCGTTGAACACCTCAGGTGGGTCTTAGGAAGAAGCAGGCCGGCCATTAAACATTGCGAAGTTAGGTTAGTGCAGGTTTTGCGGCATTTTGTGCCGTGGGGCGAACGGCAAGCCCACACAAAGGCCACCTACACCGAAAACAGAGACCGTGAACCCGGAACCTGAAAAAACAAGAAACGGCATCCTCTTAAATGTTAAGACTGTTAACAGCAAGCGGCAGAGCTGAACCAAGAGCTAGGGCAGCTAGGGTAATGAAGTTACCTTAAGCTGACGCAATTACCGCCGAAATGCTGGATCTGACATCAGAAACCTAAACAGTAGACCCTACACCCAGCTCGAACTTCAAGTAACAGCTCCACCAACAGGGCACGGCATTGTTCCTTCTCAACTTGTCTAAGGCCCCTCGAGCGCTTTGCTCCCTTTTGCTCGATTCGCTTCTCCGCTTCGGGCGATGCGCTCCTCTTTCTCCAATTCGCTCGTGCCTTTCGCGCGGTTTGCTCGCAGTTCTCAACCTCACCGATCCCCGACTTGCCTCTGTTCTCCCTTTCGTTAGCCGCTAGCCCGGCCCACTCCCGACTGTTAATCTTTATTGTGCTCCTTCTCCGATGTCCTGGTCCCATTTCGACCGGCCGGCTCCTCGTTTACAACTCCTCCTCTTGCCTTGAGCAGTTTGCTCACATCATGCACTTTGCCCTTGGGCCATGTCTCTTTCGATCCCTTTCTGCGTCTGCATTTTGCTCCCTTTCCTCAACTTTTGCATTTATTTTCGTGTTCTTCTTTTGCAAATCCTGCGATCCGCTGCGATTTGTCTGCTCCTGCTTCTGACAACTTTTCCAGTCCCTTCCGAGCAGCTTTCCCCTCCGGGTGGTTTGCTGTGTTCTCCAAAAATTTAGTGCCTTTCGCGCGGTCTGGTCATGGTTTTCCACTTCTCCACACCTTTTCAAGCGGGTTGCTTGTTGCTCGCCACAAATGCAACAAACCTTCCCGTTTCCGGTGTAGCACTTGATACTTCAACAAGTGCTTGGCACAGCCTGAGCGCGAACACCCAAGAAGCGGTGAGAACCTCAAAGCCGCAAATCACGATCCCTCAAACCCTCAACTCCCTAAGCGCTAACTACAAACCTTAAAGCTCTGAAACCGTCAGACCTGATTGTCCTTACCTCGACAATGAACCTCCGAAAAAGACTTACAGTAATTGAGCCTTCGATCCCCTGTCTGCAGCCAGGTGCTGTGACTGTGCAGAACGCGGCCTCAGGCACATAGGTGCCAAGGCCCTTGATAGAGGACAGCTCTCCGGTACCTGTTGCTTTCTTGACTCTGGGAGTCCAGCTGCGCTTTTGAGTGCTTAAGGCTTCTGGGGTTTAGAACTATATAGGTCGACCGCAGTTTTGTTCAACTTCCGAGTTCAGCATTTGGCTTCTGTCTCTTCTTGGTCCAGTGTCATGTTCGGTGAATCATCTTACGATCTCGTGCAGAGCGTGTGTCCTGGCCTACGATAGGTGTGCCCGTGGCCGCTGGATAACTGCGTAGAACCCAGAAGTGAACCCGCGAGATCCATCCTGCTCACAGATTTCTGCCCAGGTACCAGAGTTGATGCTAAGCCATATAGCGTTCGGGGTGCAAGCAACGCGCCAGTTGCTGTAACCACCCTCGGCACATGTACAGAAAACATAGAACCTCACAGTCTTCTTTTACCACACCCGTTAGAACCCTTGGCAGCATATACTGCCCACGCACATCATCGAATCATCTCACAATGAAAGAAGTCTGATCTTGTAATCGAAACCCGAATCAGCAGCCTGCCAAAATGATTCCGTTAAGGTTTAGGGAGGTATAATGGCTTAGGGTTTGGTGTCTGGGGGTATGTTTGTCATTTCGGCTGGGGGAGGGGTCTGGGAGGTAGGCGGGGGGGGCGGGGGGTCGGGTTGGGTGCATAGAAGTTCATGCTAAAAGTAGCAGTAGTAGGAGGAGTAGTAGTATTAGCAGCATACAAGAAGAAGAAGTAGCAGTAGTAGTAGTAGTAGTAGCAGCAGTAGCAGTAGTAGCAGTCGTAGTAGTAGTAGTAGTAGTAGTAGTCGTAGTAGTAGTAGTAGTAGCAGTAGTAGTAGTAGTAGCAGCAGCAATAGTAGTAGTAGTAGTAGTAGTAGTAGTAGTAGTAGTAGTAGTAGTAGTAGTCCTAGTGGTAGTGGTGGCGGTAGCGGTAGTGGTAGTGGTAGTGGTAGCTGTAGCGGTAGTGGTAGTGGTAGTGGTGGTAGTAGTGGTAGTAGTGGTAGTAGTGGTAGTAGTAGTAGTAGTAGCAGTAGCAGTAGCAGTAGCAGTAGCAGTAGCAGTAGCAGTCGTAGTAGTAGTGTCGTAGTAGTAGTAGTAGTAGTAGTAGTAGTAGTAGTAGTAGTAGTAGTAGTAGTAGTAGTAGTAGTAGTAGTAGTAGTAGTAGTAGTAGTAGTAGTAGTAGTAGTAGTAGTAGTAGTAGTAGTAGTAGTAGTAGTAGTAGTAGTAGTAGTAGTAGTAGTAGTAGTAGTACTAGTACTAGTAGTAGCAGCAGTAGTAGTAGCTGTAGGCTGTAGGAGGAGGAGGAGGAGCAGTAGGGGGAGTAGGTGGTAGTAGTAGTAGTAGTAGCAGTAGTAGTAGTAGCAGCAGTAATAGTAGTAGTAGTAGTAGTAGTAGTAGTAGTAGTAGTAGTAGTAGTAGTAGTAGTAGTCCTAGTGGTAGTGGTGGCGGTAGCGGTAGTGGTAGTGGTAGTGGTAGCTGTAGCGGTAGTGGTAGTGGTAGTGGTGGTAGTAGTGGTAGTAGTGGTAGTAGTGGTAGTAGTAGTAGTAGTAGTAGCAGTAGCAGTAGCAGTAGCAGTAGCAGTCGTCGTAGTAGTAGTGCTAGTAGTAGTAGTAGCAGTAGTAGTAGTAGTAGTAGTAGTAGTAGTAGTAGTAGTAGTAGTAGTAGTAGTAGTAGTACTAGTAGTAGTAGTAGTAGTAGTAGTAGTAGTAGTAGTAGTAGTAGTAGTAGTAGTACTAGTACTAGTACTAGTAGTAGCAGCAGTAGTAGTAGCTGTAGGCTGTAGGAGGAGGAGGAGGAGCAGTAGGGGGAGTAGGTGGTAGTAGTAGTAGTAGTAGTAGTAGTAGTAGTAGTAGTAGTAGTAGTAGTAGTAGTAGTAGTAATAGTAGTAGTAGTAGTAGTAGTAGTAGTAGTAGTAGTAGTAGTAGTAGTAGTAGTAGTAGTACTAGTAGTGGTGGTGGTGGTGGTGGTGGTAGTAGTTGTTGTTGTCGTGGTAGTAGTAGCAGCAGTAGGAGTAGTAGTAGGAGGAGGAGGAAGAGAAGGAGCAGGAGAAGCTGGTGGATGTTGTGGTTGTGGTTGTTGTTGTCGTTGTTGCTGCTGCTGTTGCCGTTGTTGTTGTTGTTGCTGTTGCTGCTGTTGTTCTTCTTGTTGTTGTTGCTGGTGGTGTTGCGGTTGTTGTTGTTGTACTAATAGTAGTGCAACTGCGCATGTAAGTACATGTACATGTGTGAGAACCTGAGAATGCCAAACACATCTACACACCGCACTCCTCACAATTGGCTCCTGCCATATCCGGAACTCCTAAATGACATCCTTACGATTGTCGCTATCAGCTGCACGCGACGATTGAACCTGGCATCGCTTTAATTAGCCAAGACTCTGTTTATGCTCTGTTGTCAGTCTTCATGATTGTCTACGGACGTGGCAGCAACTGCACAAACAATGCAACGGACAAGGGGCTGCTCGGCGCGAAATGTACTTCGTGTGCGGCATGTACTTGGAATTCGAAGGAGCAGGAAACGACAACAAGCGGGCGTCGTAAGCGAAGTACCTTTCGGGCATAGACCGAAAGCAAAAACCCTGTAATTAGTAGAAGTTTTAAGCCTTAGACACCTAGCCTTAAATCCGAAACCCACAGAGGCCTCAGGGCCAGGCTCAGAGTTCACGTGCCTCCTACTCGGCGTGGCTCTCAGGGTTCAGCCACTGTAAACGGGCTTCGGGCGTCAGGTTCACAAGGACTGTCGCAGAAGCTACGGGTCAAGGCTTCAGGGTTTTAGAGCTCGTAGCCATTACTTCAGGTTTACGGGTTTCGGGATTGTGGTGGTGGTCCAAATCCCGAACAGGTATTGTTTTCTGGGAGGTCTGTAGGTCGGCAGGTGCCTGTTTGTGTTGGCATGGCCCACACCTCATGCGATTCATGATTCTAGAACAGCCACCAGCTTCCGAAGCAGGATTACGTGGTATGCTCACAGTCGACACCTGCAACCTCTTACGAACCTGGGCTCGGTAGGGGTTCATGTTTAGGGAGCTTCCAAGGTGCTGCAGGTCAATCTTGACCGTGGTGTTGGCCGTGATGCCCAGACTCTCGTCCTTCCACAGCTCCGACGCAGAAAAGCTGGAGACAGATTCATGATGCCGGGACGAATGTAAGAAAACTATCAGTGCAAGCCCTGAACTTGACTCGCGGATGCCACGCCCGATCTTGCAGAGGCATCGTCGCCACTGGCAGAGTATGGGTACTCGGTCGCATGCTGGGTCGCATGCTGACGCGGCATTGCCTACCATCAGCCCAAAGCAAAAAGACTGTCAAAGAAATACCGGCATAAACAGGGTCCCTAGACTCGTAAACGCCCAGGCGCGTGGCTACATCGGAGCTACTCTGATGCAAAAAAGCTTGTGCTTGGAGAGCCAACTGAGAAACCCACACTATGTGCACCCCTGATCTCAAAGCTTCCCTGGGCCGCTTGATCATCCTGACGAGAGCAACATCTGCGAGGCTCCGAGCGAGAAGGGATCCCGGGAGAACACTTTGGAGCTTCTAGGGCCCGATCGTGATCCGTGCTCAGTCGCAGAAAGACCGGGCTGTCTGAATGGAGCCTAAAGTTTGAAACCTCGCAGCTTACGGCATAACACGATCGGAACTAAACACTGACATATCATATTCATACCCCATAAAACCACTGTGTCGTAGCATATTGTCACGCAGTGTCCTGCACTGCCTCAATGATGCATTCCACTTCCGCTGGTTCCTCCGCGGTTGGCGTGCCGGCGATCCTGCATGTTCAGGGTGGAGGGGTGCCTTAAACTCCAGACTCTGAACCGCTTGAGGTTTGGGTTTAGCGTCAGCTCGGTTTCAGCGGCCAGTCCTGCCGGTGCGGGGATCCAGCACTAAGCCCAGTGAGTGCAGGTCGCAGCCAGTACCTTCCTGAGACACTTGCGGCACATGGACCACGAAGCCAAAGCTACGGTACTACACACTGTTCCTTCGACTTGTCTTCCTATATCTATTTCTGACATACAACTCATTCGCCGGCGGAGAAACTTGGAATTCACAACTACAAAACTTGCACTGCAGAAAGAATCTTGCAGAGATAGACCAAAAATCCGATGGTGCATGGTGTAAGGTATCAGATGCTATCAACAACCCTGTTGGAAGTTGGGGATCTCACAACCTGGGGAATACGGACATCCTCCGCCAAGAGCCAAGCCTTGGCGGGTTTGCAATCGATGTCTATAACTATAACCTTTAGGTCCTGAACTCTGCAAGCAACACATCTTCAATTTTTCGAGGTCATAACTATAAGGCTGAGTGTTCAAGATTTGGCGAGAACTCTACAACGAAAATCTTCTCTTCTCCCCACAACAGCGAAAGAACGAGAACAACCTAAGTTCACGACCCCTTTAGTACATATGGAGATTATAGCACACTCACTAATACAATGGTTAGGAATGGAACCGGGGAGATCTTGCAACTTATTGACAGTTCGATAGTCGCCCTGAGCACGAAGCCCTAGCAGACCCATCATCCACCCAGAAAAGCGGGAATGTGCACTACAGGATCGGGAAACTGAATTTCTGCAATGCTCCAACATCCTGAAAAAATGGCTCAAGATGAATATCTCCTAGCACAATCTCCAAGGCACAAGGACTCCGGCCACGCGGTAGCTGGAAGCAGTTCGTGGGTAGGGCTGGTCACTCATCGCCTCGCCAAGCCTCAGTCCCAAAGGGCAGGTTTCCGAGTTCTGGGAGTCACGTGGTTTTTGAATATAGCTTAGCAGGTTTCGGGCTTAGGGAAGACGGAGTCTTGGGAAGACCTTGTCGCATCACGAACTATAGCAGTCTTAGCCCGAGATAGGGGGTCAGGACACGACCTGCAAGGCAATTTGCAGTCCGCTGTATTTTTGCCCTCTACACCAGACCTGAACTATGACTGAGTCTTTAATGCTGAAGCCTTCAGTAACACCTAGAGCTGAAAGACACTGAAAACGCTAAGAATCCGAAGTGATGGTGTTCGTACGGAAATGGCTTTCGAACCGCGCCCGATACCCAAACGAGACTGCAGAAAGGAGGCGCTTTTGGGTTCAGGATCTAGGGGTCCCTGCAATGGCCCTAATTTACATTACTTACCAAGTCCTGCCAAGGCGCACAAAGGATCGACTGGAAGCCAGGTAGGTGAATGGCGTGCTGGCCTGCATACCTGCAATGCTCAGTTCGTGGGTTTAACATGCTCAGACCTAAACGGGGGTTCTACTCGAGAATCTCGAGTCTGCGCATCTGCATCCTAAGCAGATGCTCGAGCTACCAATTACTCTTCCACACAGACTTGTTGTCTTCACAGCATGGCACGGGGAGGACGATAGTTGATACCACTTCGCCAAATCAGAGAACGGGCGCTTTGTCGCTCTATCTCTTAAATCAATGAGATCGCGCGTGGTGATAACACTGTCTTTGCTGTCTTCAGCCTCAGGGCCGAACACACCGCAAATGACGATAGAATCATCTTCAATTCGACTTTACAAACTTGCGCATACTGCGCTTAACTCGAAGGTCCTGCTTAATGATCGCATGTCTTATCGCTCCATGCGATGTGGCTTCGTGGCATACATCTGCATAGCTGTATGCACGGCCAGTGCCGCAAACCAAGCAAGCTGATATAGGTAGCAATCGACTGGCGCAGTTGCAGCATTTGCCATCTGCTTCAACTGTGAAACAAACGGTAGTCAATATGTGAAAGAAGAGTTCATGCTCAAGTACTACTTGTAGGTGTTGTATCATGTTTGTCTAGCTGCTAGTTATTGCTGTTCTGGCCAGCTGCTTAATGAATGTTCTTCAATCTTGAATATGTATATATATATATATATAGCAGTTCAGTAAGTAAACTTTCATGGAGCAGTAGTTGAAATTCAGTTATGGGCTACGGACAACGAACAAACCTGTGATACATCGTCGATGAACACTGATCAAACCTACGTCGAATACAAGACAAAGCGAGTCTGGTCTCCGGCTTTCCAAAAAAAACTAAACGCGGCCGACATGCTTCGTAAGTACAATCACACTAACAGAATAATGATCCACATTAGGGAAACAACTAGAGTACTGACACGATGAACCAACACGGGTTTAATAGTTGACCAAGGTCCATCTAAAAAGGGTATGTTTGATAAAGTGCGATGAACTGGTGAGCAGTATCTTTCTGGCGGAAGGATATAAACAACTGCATTGCACATAATCTGCTTGCTGCTAGCTAGATCTGCCGTACAGGACAGCACTTGGATGAGAGATGGGCGTTCTAGGAATATGAATGCACATCGCCAACTGCACTGTCCAAATGTCCCAGGTCTTGAAGACCATACCTCCTCGTGTTATCTTAGGAACAACATCACACGGCGTGCGTCAATTAGATTAGTTTTTGCAGGAACTTAAGCTCCATCGTGATTCGCACGACACCCAGACAAGCCTCACACGCATCCCCTGCACGCAAGCAGCTACCAAAGAAAACATAGTTCTGAAAAGTCGTGCAGATGCCAAAACAGGTTTTGGAATTTTGCTACTTTGGATTATTGTTCGAATTCCAGGGTTTTGGAATTGTGGGCCTCTCGTGTCGTGGACATCTTATAAGAACCCATTGAAAAACTATACACATATCGCAAGTCTGTCTGGCGTCTCCGCGCAAGAAATGTTGGATGTTGCAAAGTCTCTGGTTGCTGATGGCGCACTACGAATGAACACAGCTTCGCTGTTTCGGTTAGCAACAATTAAGATGGGAATGACCGTGCATCGGAAGTCAGACATTTCCCAAATACATACGTACGTGTATGTTGGGCATCTACTGTATATAAACAGACAAGTAGGTAAATAAAAATATGAGTGTATATGTATACACATAAATATATGTATACATATCTGCAAATGTATATATGTATGTTTGTATCTATGTGCTGCATGGTAAATATGCAGTGACGAAAGAGCTAGACAGACAGCTCCTAAATCACGTCAACTTGGACCCGATAAAACTTCGAGATCCGAGCTGCCCCCGCCGCAAGCACAGCAGGCTTCCTTGGCACTAAGCCCATTGTGCCGGTACTGCTCGATAGTCGTGTCCTGATACCAGGAAAGCACCCTGATTGTGGTCTAACAGCTTGGCACTGCCATCTTGACAGCAAACCGAAAGCAGCGAGCACAACGAAAGCAAACAACAAACGCATTGTGTTGTTGCTGCTTCTGCCACTGCGACCACAACCACCGCCTGCTTGAACTTCTATGGCCGACGCTGTGTCTTCAACATCCAAGCCGACACATGGTGAACTACATCCAAGCTCAAAGCCACTCAAGGTCCTCTGTGATGCTCAGGACTTGGGGGTTTGCTTTTGACGGTTTGGGAAACTGAAGATATCCACACTCGACGCCGTGGCCTGCTTAACAAGCGTAAAAATGGCCGTTGAACCCATAAGCCCAAAACCCGACAGCCCTAAGCCAACGCGCCAAACAACCTGGCCCCCTAAGCTGGAGAGGGTACTGTAACGAGGTCTCCCTCCAACCACATGCTTCCGGACAACGGCGATCTCTCACTTAGTTTTGGGATTTCGGGTGGGGGGAGTTTACGGCCGGGGGTTCAGGGCAGCTTAGGTTCCAGAATAGGTTCAGGATACAAGGTAGTTTGGGGTTCAAGGTTGCTTAGGGCCTGTTTGAGGCTGTAAGGTCACGTCCTCGAAGCGTATGCTATACTGCGCAGTTACCTGCAGCCCTATACAACTTTATGGGATATAAAGTGGTCATCTCATGTGTGCCTTGCCTTGACGATTTTGGAGTTGAAGCGGCTGCCGCTTGGCGCCTTTCGGTGAGACGGAACTGGCAGATGCTCGGCAACAGGATTCGTCACAGAGAATTTAAGCCGAAAGTGGCCCGTAAATCCTAAACCGTGTTGGGGTTCGGATTTCCCTCGTGACATTGTGATCTTAAAATGGTTCAGAGCTTTCGAATCAATCAGGAAGTCGACCGCATGAGAGTTCTTGTGCAACTCTGCTCCCACGGTTGGACAGGCTGCCAACTTTTCGGCCACGAGCATCTGCCCGTGCATCTTGAAGTTTCGGCAACTGGACCAGTGGCTCATCGGCCTATTGTCAAGATTGCCGTTGCAGCGGCCGAGTTGCCAGTAGTTATAGAAGTGATAGCCTGTGATAGCTAACAGTTATAGCTGCCGGCAGGACTCATCACGGATCCGAGAAAGTCATCGAAGCCTGTGGCCTGTAGTAGACATCTACGAACCTGCAGAAACCAAAAACCAGATGGCAGCAGATTGGAGGCAGAGTTGATTGAAATGTCGTGCACAGCAGAGATTCCGGAACCTGGTGCAAACAAAAAAAGAGATCAGGTTGGTACTAGAGGTACGATCAGACCGGCCAACCTCCGGCAGAGGAGAATGGCCTTCACCACACGACAGCAACCGGCACAACACAGCAACTGCATTGAAGCTGCGATGTCGCGAAGCCCGAAGAATCTCTAGACCCCAAACTCTCAACCCGAGCCCCCACCTGCAAGCGAGGGCTGCAGAAGCTGCTGGGTTTTCGGGATGAAAGACTCAGGATAGTCAAGACATGCATGGGGTTTAAGACTCTGGACTCTCTCCCCATCCCAATCCGAACCCCCAAGCCCTACGAGGCTTTGTTCCGCTCAAGGCACCCCATTTCGACAGACCATCTGCTCCCAGTAGTGGTGACAGTTGTTGCCGGCTGGATCCACGAAGCCTGGCAAAGAGGTATTTTGATCACGAGAGTTTTCTTCATCAACACGACCAATAGTCGGGTTAAGGACTTG